CCAAATTGATGCAGTGCATTTCATTTCTATCTCTGGATGATAAAATTTACAGTACACTGTTATATGCTATCTGTATTTTAATCTAGGGGGAACATGGTGGATGCTTCCGGGATGCATATAATGCAGACGAAAGAACTTGGTACCTGTCCAGTGCGGCAGATTGGGGGATGCTCTTCTTTTATATGAGAATCAGCAATGTCTATATTGTAATTGTTGTCAGCAGCAATGCGAATGTAGCTTGTGCATTCAAATTTGTGGTTGAGGTATTTTATATTTCTTGTTTTTCATAATTTTGAATCTTAAAAAGTAAATAATAAATGAAATAAACCTTTTTCATGAATTTGTATTGTCTAGTAGATGTAGAACTCAAGATTTTAGTTGTGAGCAATTCGGGGAATGTTTAAATTTTGTTGTAGAGAATCTTTACATGAATGATTTAGCCATTTATGATTGCATTTTTATTAGGAAAAATTATGATGTACGGAACTTTTCCATGGATGATGAATAATTTAGAACCTGCTGATAGTAATTTAGATTGAGAAAATATTTGTTTCTGCCTTTTGTTTAGTTATTGGAGCCATTTATGTACGATATAAATAGTGGTGTGGGGAATAGGAATAAGCCTTCCTGTTGGTTGCAAATGGATGGGTTTTGAGAGTTAGACGATGCCTTTGTGATTGAATAGTATCGTTTCTTGTCTTTCTAAGCGGGAGATGCAGTTGAGTTCTCTTTTTGGTCTCTTTTGCTTGTAAGATTACATATTTTACAAGTATCAAGCCAAAGTTTTCCTTTGTTTCTTATTTAATTTTTGGGGAAATTTTTTTCGATTTTTCAATTCAGATCAAGTCCTTTAGTGTCTTAGCTGAATAGAGCAGCAGTTTTTTTAGACTAGATGTTCTTGAATTCTATAGAGATTCATGATCTGTGTTGGGTAGAAATGCAATGGTTGTTCGGTAACATCAACAGTCCGGGTAATAATCTTATATAGTCCTTCCCCCAACTTATAGGAAGTCGAACAAGCACTATTTGTTTAACACTGAAAAGAATTACCGGGTTGGTTCCTAGCCTTATCAAAGTACGTCGTTGGAGGCAAAGTTATGGTACTATTGCCCTAGAGGTTGAAGTTGGAAAAGGTTTGAGCTTAGGTAAGGTAGTTGTGAGATGTCAACATTGGGTGAGTGACGTCGCCCAAACAGAAATGAATTCTTTAGGCGAGAAGAAGCCTACAAGCTCACTTTTATGGATGGCCATACAATTGCAGGTATCATGGCTAGAAACAATGGTTAGGTATAGAAGAGTTTGTTAGAAAAGGCAGTAGTGATTGATTTAAAAGTGTTAGAAACTCAAATTCTCTTAATGAAAAGTCTAAAAAGGCTAAAAATGTTCAATAGGTTAGAGTATCTATGTTTAATAAAGTTGGATCCTCTCTTCCAAAAATCTGATGGGGGACTCTTCATGAGAATTGAGATCGAGCCATGAAGAAGAAATGATTAACTCAAGCTACTGCGATGGGTCTAAAAGAAGAAAAAGCCATTTGAGTCGGCCTTGCTTACTGAAGGTAACAGGCTAGCAAACATAGGGCAGTGACTAGGTTGAGATCGATAAGGAAATGTTGATAACTGGTTCCAAGTTGTGGAATTCATTAGTCTTCAACATACAAAAGAAACATTTGTTAATAAGAGTAAGGAGGTGTCCTTCCCAAAGCGCATTATATTTCTTGCCTCCTTACAGGGCTAAGGCCCATAGGCAATTTACTAATATATATATCTCCTTTCTACATTATATAGAAACTTGGGGGTGGCGGTGATTATATAGAAAATGGAGGATTTAGTCCTCAACCTTCGAAAGAAACATTGGTTAGTGAGAGTAAGTAGGCATCCTTACCTAAGTGCGTCTCATTTCTTGACTCCTTATAGGCTAATGCTCTGATGTGAGTATGGATATGAACCATAAAGAGAAAACTCAATCGAAAGAAAAATGAGAGAATAGGCCAAAAAGGAGATCTTATGGTCGGCCCTAAATTTTTATGTCTCCCCATTAATTTGACCACAATTTTTTTTTAATGAAAGATTAAATTTATCTTAGTTAGAAAATTAGATTTTAATTTTAATTTATTTATATATGTCTCTCCTCTTAATTTAGTTACAATCTCTTTTAATTAAAAAAGAAGACTAAATCTATCTTATTTAGAAAATTAATCTTTAATTTTTTAATTTATTTCCTATATAATTGTAAATTAAATTAAGAGATTTTATCTTCTTTTTTATTTACTTGACTTATCCTATAAATAGATCACTAAGTCTTCATTGTAAGGCATTCAAAAATTATCTCAATAATATTAAGAGTATTTCTTTTCAAAAGAGATTTTTCTACTATCTTGTTGAGTAAAGAGTGGATCTACTTATCAAGATACGATCGTGTAGTGTTTTTCCATTCTATTTATTTCATTTCTAGTAACTTTAGTTCCTATTATTCTTGATAGCAAATTAAGTAGGAAGGATTTCTATAAAATCAATTCTTTTAATGCCTTTAAATGAAATTGTGTGTTTTTGATCACGTTGGTTGATTTTAGGTTCCGCATCACGCCCACTGGTAATTTATGATATATCTATCTCTTTGCTATATTATAAAGAAATTGGTGTGAGGGGGCAATTATACATTATGGGCAATTTTAACTACACTTAGGAGTTCTTCTCTTAGAAGGCTCTAGGAGGATATATTATGTAACGGCCCCGGAAATTTAAATAAAATATGTGTTAAAAATGTCAAATGCGGAAGCGTAATAAAAATTTTGATTAACATCTCTTACACTAAAATCAAAAACGTGCTCAAAGTATAAAAGAACAAACTAACTAAAAGAGAAATTCGAAAAGAAAAACTATAAATATAACTACGGAGTCTTTAGACGTCCCCTTCACCGTCTTCCTGCGGAACGGGTTCGGGAACAATGTCCTCCTGATCTGAAATGGTTAAATAAGAAATGAGCTACACCAGCCCAGTAAAGACATCACACTATCTCACCGTCACGGATGTAAAGGTGGGTAGAAAACACAAAAAGACCAATGGAGCATAATTTATAACAAATTCTTTTATCAATAATAAAATCTTTTACTGTCCACTTATCTCGGTGAAGTTCATAAAACAACATACGAAAGCAATAAGATTATCATCATCATGAAATCATATGAACTGTATAACATAATACTTACCACACCTTTGCATTTCAATCATTACACAACATATTTTTCCTTATTTACCAGCTTACTAGTATCCATGGGGATCCATAGGAGTTCCGCTACCCGTGAACCCTTAACATTTGTAATCAGATTCCAGGGCCGTCCCCATACCCCGTCCGGTATGGGCGCCAAAACCATAAACCTCAATACTCCGTCCGGTATGAGAGTGAAACGGGCCGTCCCCATACCCCGTCTGGTATGGGCACCAAAACACATAAGGTCTCCATACCCCGTCCGGTATGAGAGACCACAATCCCGGTAGGGTTCCCTACGGACCCGGTCCGTCCACCATCTCGCAGGATATCTAGTCAGGCTGACTACATTATCTAATTATCAATTTACGTAACATTTTATTCCTTTTTTTCTCAGTCAGCATCATCAAATCACACACAAACAGGCAAACCAGTAATTTATGCCAAACAAGACAATACACAACATCGGGTTCTCAGTCATTCAACCCATAATCAATAAAACAGTGAAATATGCACACGAAACTATGAAATGAAAACATCAGACCTCATACTGCATTTAAAACTGTAAAATAGGACAAACAACAGCTGACCGACAAACACACCAGACTCGGGCTCCATTAGCGACCTTAAACAATTTCACACATCTATTGATTCATGAAATACCGTTTTATCATTTATTGAACTTTAATACCGTGATAGGAAATAGAGTAAGGGGTCTTTACTTGTTTCGAGATCTGAATACGGCTCTACAGTGCGCCTACAGGCTGTCCCTAATTTTCCTTGAATTTTTCCCAGGGAACTGAAACGCACTACTTGTACCTGTACGTGTCCCAAAAAATTCCAAATTAGACCCAGGGCCCCTTTCGGCCAATATCGCAATTCCGGCATGGCGGCTCCGGCGTGCTCCGGCGACGGCGCCGCCGCTTGCTGCGGCGATTCGCCTCGAGTTGGCCGTTTTTGGCCGAATTCGGCCACGCTTGCATCGGTCCCTGCGATAGAACAACCCTAGGGCCCTCGGTGGGCCTAAAAACCGAAACTTACCGGCGGCGGTGCTCTCGGGTGCGGCGGCTCCTCCGGCGTGAGTCATGTTTTGATGTTTGGCTCCGATCAACCTGTAGAGAAAAAAACGGTGATCACAGTGGTATAAAATTTGCATCAAACGGAGGCCGGGAAGGGCCTCATCGGAGGCAAAAAACGAGGGGCGCGGCGGCGCCGCTGGTTTTGGCTGAGTTTTCCGGCCGTTTGGCCGGTGGTTTGGCTCCGATTTGGCCATAGGCGGACTCAGCGTCGAAAAACGAGTAAGGGGGAGAAAAATTACCTCGATCGACGGTCGGAAACTTCCCCGGTGCGGCGGCGGGTGGCAGCGGCCGGCTCCTCCGGCGAGCACTGGCGGCTAGGGTTTCTTTGGTCAGGTGTGGGTGGAGGTATTTATACCCTTCGCCTTTTAATCTTGACCGTCTATCAAGATTGAATCTGTGTTGTTCGATTGCGATTTAATTGGGATTAAATCTGGACCGTCCGTGCGCGAGGGAACGGATCTGGGCCATCCGATCGCGCGCACGCGGATCGCCCCCATGGCCCATCCCCTGGCCAGCGTGTCCTTGCCACGCAGCGCGTCCTTGCCACGCAGCGCGTCCTTGCCACGCAGCGCGTCCTGGTTGGCCAGGGCTGCTGACCGGGCCGCTGACGTGGCTGCTGACGTGGTGCTGACGTGGCACAACTTTTCTAAATTACGTTTTGACCCTCGATTTCCAATTTTTTTTAAAAAAATACCCCAAAATCCAAATTTTCACCCATTTTTCCCAAAATCAATTTCAATTAAATCCAAATAATATTTTTATCCAATTTTATCATTATTATTATTTTTATTTTTATTAAATTAAATTAAATAAATCAATTAAAATTTCAAAAATTACAAAATAAACTAAATAAAATAAATTAAAAATTAATAATAATAATAATAATAATAATAAAATTAATGGGTGTTACATATTATTCTTTGACATTGTACTTTATCTCCTCCTGTCTTATAATTTCAAAAAGTAAGAATGTATCATTTTTTTTCCTGCCCAGCATGCTCCTCACCCATGCTTTTTGTTGGACAATGTTCTTTTTGGAATCCATTAGGGCATAGGATCACTAAGCTTTTGATTGCTGGGACTCAGAATGGTGCTCTTAGTTCCTTGGTTGTTGGGGGTCACTCTTATTTAGACGTGTTTTCAAGTATTCCTCTTTTTTACCTCTGCCTCTTTAAGTTTCTAAAGATGTTGTTGAGAACATTGAAAGGATGATGAGGAATTACTTTGGTCTGGTTCGAGTGAGGTGTTGACAGAGCACTTGGTTAGATGGGAGGTGGTTTATCTCTGCTGTAATTATTTTCTTTTTCTTTTTTGGCTTTTTTGGAATAATGATTTAACTCAGCTCTTTCATATAATAGTTTTTTACAATTAAAAAATAGTTTTTTATAATTAAAAAAAATATTAGCAGATGGATAACATGTTTGGAACAAAATGTCTTGGCATTGTCAACAACCTCTTCATGCAGAATAGGAAGACACTAAGGTGGGCATATTACTGTTAGTTATATATTTATATAAATTGTAATGTTTATATATTATTAAATATTTTGGTAATTTAGGAATTAATATTTATACAAAATAACTTTATTATTTCCTATTTAGTATCTTATTTAGTTATTTTCTAATATATGTTGTTCTACTTAATTAACTTCTTTACCTATTTTATAGAATTCCTAGATAGAGTTAAGGATTTCTATCTTCATTTTAATTTGGTACCTATAAATCGAGTACTCTAGTTTGGTTATTAGGCAAACTATTTATGACTGTTATTAAATATTTGAAAAAAATATTATTATTATTCAAATATTGAGATATTGCTTTAATTATTGAGATCCAAGATATCCTAGTTTGTTTCTTGATAACATTTCTTTGAGTCTTATCTTTAAGTTTATCACCTTGTATCTAGCTCATGACTTGTATGTTCGAGAAAAAATTTCATATGAAAGCAGAGTTGTTGCCGAGTTACAGAGAAGAACTATTTACAGGATGAATGTATCACTAAGTAAAAGAGAATTGCCCTATCTACAAGGCTGACACCCTTAAGTCACAAATTAAGCATGTGAACCAATCTATCTTTGGTACCTCAGCAGAAGTTCATCATTTAACATGACACCAGTAGATTGATTCCCTTGGCCTGGTTGTCTTCTGCTTATTAAAAGAACATGAGATGATGGAATATTAGATCTTTCAGTCAATCTTGTTTTTTGCATTTGCCTAAGTAAGTGACTTAGTACCTTGTTTTGTACTCCTGATGCCTTGGTGAATGAAATTTTTTTTTTTATAAAACAAATTGCTATTGGATTTTGGTGATAATTGAACTCTCCATCTCAATCTTTCTGGTATTTTAATAATTTCTACAGTTACTTCCACTTAGTCTGTGTAGCTGATGCTTGTCGGTGTTATTCCATATGCAGGCTGTTGCATTGTTTAAATCATACTTTGGTGGAGCTTTTGATGAAGATGCCATTCGCAATAACTTTGTTCTTATCTACGAGTTGTTGGATGGTATGTAGAATCATTGGTTAGATTGCTCTAATTCATAAAGAAATTTCAAAGGGTTACTAATCAATTTAAAGCAACTTAAGTCATAAGTGACCCATATTCAGGTTTACTCAAATTTGACTTGAAAGATGATTTTATCTTCCCTTTCTAGGAATCTAAAATATCCCGAACTCAATTTATGTAAAATCTGAAATAAGTAATAACTAGGTTAGTGCTGATCTGAATGACTTGAACTGTAAAGGAACAAACTTAAAACGCTAACATATCCACATTGTGATCTCTAGATATCCAGGTTCCCAAGTTTCTCAATATCCGTAGAACATAAGTGGATCATTGAAACCCATCAAGCATGCAATATTGCAACCATAGTTTAAAAGATTGAGAACCTGTACTTTTAGGAGCTTGAAAACTAGGCTTCAGCAGAAGTTAATGACAAAAAAAAGGAGGCTATGTTTGACACTTGGTTTAGTAGGCTCACTAGTTGGGTAGTTTAGGATAAGGTACTCATTAGTAAAATTCTTAGATCCCAAATGTTTGGGATAATTGAGCAAGGAGATAAGTAAGATAACATAAAAAACTATATTACTACTTTTTCAAATTTATGTTGGTATGGTGGTTGCAATGGATGAAGAGGTGGTGGCAATGGTGGGTGATTGTGGTGCTGGCATTGGTGGCAATAAAAATGGCAGCAGCTATTTATTCACATTAGCATAAAGTGGATGGAAAACAATTGGAAACGACATATTTTAGACATTTTAAACTTTTTAGAATGAGGTTTTAGACTCATGCATCCAATTCTCGATAGTGATGATTAGGTTTCACGATATTTAGTAAGAGAGAGTAAGGGGCCTTATCTATTCTTTATCTGACCCTACCCACTATTACAAACATCACCTTATTGTATATGTAGGAGTTTTCAACCTGAATAGGGGTCTATGCAAACTATGCGCCATGGCAAGCTTAGATGGCAGTGATTAACAAAACTAGAAGAAAGAGGGAGAAATTGAAGGGCATTTTAGGATATTTGGTTTGATCTAACTGAATTAAGGAGTTTCAGTAACTAAAGAAAAGAGCTTCTGTATTTTTTTCAAGGCCGTCCTTGCCAGTGTGAGGATGTTGTATTTGTCTCTTAAACTGGGTAGCCCAGACTATTTTCCCACTTTCTAAAGTACAATACAAAGGTCATCTACTTTGCAAAAGGTCTATGGATCTCATGAGTTCAAATCATATGTTGCTAATTCTTTTTGTCCTTATGCTGAAACGAACAAGGACATTTAAGGAAGTATACTAGAGTTTGTTGTTGTAAAGTTTAAAAGAAATAAAATAATTACTCAGAGGGAATATTATAAAATCAAGCTTTTAGAGGATTGGTGACCTTAAATTGTGTAAAGTTATGCTAACCATGTCTTGATCCCCTAAGTTTGCATAATATGGAAGGCCCATTGAGCTTTTTATCTCAGTTTCAGTTTTCTATGAGGGAGAAAAGGACTGATATCTAAATCTAAAACTGCAGAAATCATGGACTTCGGTTACCCACAAAATCTTTCTCCTGAAATTCTGAAGCTTTATATTACTCAGGAGGGTGTGCGCTCACCATTCTCATCCAAGGTTGGTTATTTATTTGTCAAATAGTAAGGATATGGAATTTGGAAGAAAATAAAGCATGTGGCTAGTATTTTAAGACCTTTTCTTTATCAATAATGCCATTTTCCTCTATATCTGATATTCCTTGTTGAAGATTGTATTATTTTGTTCTTCCATCTGTTATTTCATAAATTCATTGATCTTTTTTTATCAATAATGCCGTTGTACTCTATATCTGATATCCCTTGTTGAAGATTGTATTATTTTGTTCTTCCATCTGTTATTTCATAAGTCCATTGATCTTTTATACAATTCACAAATTGGTTGAATAGCCTACAGATAAGCCTGTACCCAATGCAACATTACAAGTTACAGGTGCTGTTGGTTGGCGAAGGGAGGGCCTTGTTTACAAAAAGAATGAGGTAATTCAAGTTTGATGCACTGCCGTTCTTTATTTATAGGACCATTTTTCTTGTTTTCTAAACATTCATTTGGTGCAGGTGTTTCTGGATATTGTGGAGAGTGTTAATCTTCTCATGTCTTCAAAAGGTGTATAATTGTTTTTTTTTTCTTGAGATCTTTTATTGATTGATGCATGTTCAATTGCTTATGCATCTTGCTCCAATTATAGGCAGCGTTCTTCGATGCGATGTAACTGGGAAGATTCTTATGAAATGTTTCCTTTCTGGAATGCCTGATCTGAAGTTGGGTTTAAATGATAAAATTGGCCTTGAGAAGGAATCACAACTTAAATCCCGCCCTACAAAAAGGTAATGTTTGATGGAGTTTTCTCATCCCTCAACTAATTTTAGTAGTACACTTTTTTGGATTGTTAGATTATGTTTCGGTAGTGAAAATTTAGAGTGCGTTTGGTTCCAGAAAACAGCTTTTGTTTTCCTTTTCTCTCAATAAAGAGGCTAGAGAAAAACATATTTAATAGTTCCATTTTCACTTAGGGTACTACACCTCTAGTAATTGAACACAAGACGTATGAAGGGCTGGGTACACATGACCAAGGGCTACTGTCATTGGGTTGGAACATTCTGGTAGTTGAAAATAGTAAGTTTGAGTTCTGCACCAACTTTATAGAATAGAAATGTGAATACAATACAAAAAGGATAGAAATTTGAATAAAAATGACATTGTAATTCCAAGTCATTCGGTTTCCAGCTCAAGTTAGATGTTCTGGTGATTTTTTCTTTAATAGGTGGAAATATGAATTATTGAGGAAATGATTGAAGTATCTAATCAAATATATATGAATTATGAACGAGTTTTACATATAAAATAATGTGCACCTTGATGTGTGTTTATATCTCTCTCTCTCTTCCTCTGTCTCTCTCTCTATATATTCAAACACTTAATTGTGGTCATATTTTTTTTTTATATTTTCCTTCGCCTTAGTCATGTTTTTGGTAATTTAGCTAAATATGTAGATATATGTGGATAGGAAAGAAAAACTACTTGAAAATGTTTCTATGTTCCAAGACCTGCCCTAGTTTGTGCTGTTTAGTTGTTTAAATTGTAACCTGTCCTTCCTGCTTTATATATCTTTTGATAAAATTTTTTCATGTTTAGTTTTTATACTTAATTTCCTGTGATAATTGGGCAGAGCTACTAGACCCCAGTTTCAATGTTCAAGACTTTTCATAGGACACTTCCTTGTTTCTTCTCATTGTTGGCAAGAACAATCTATCTTTTCTCAATAACCTTTTTTCTTTGCTGAAATTAAATTCTTAATGTGCAAGTTTTCCTACCTGCACAAATGAAGACACTTGTTTTTAATCAACTCAATCTTTACTTTCTATCATTCTATTAAATTCTATTCTTATTGCAGTTATTTACTTGCGAAGTGTGGTTCTAAAAAATTTATTTAGTAGTTTAAGTTTAAAACTTTAGCTATTATTTGCACATGAAGATGTGTGTTTATTCAATAA